TGTACTTTTGTTGAGGTTCAATTTCAGGTTTGCATTCTCGAGGCGCTGTAAGACAGCCTTCAGACATTTGTCATGTTTCTCCTTGGTTTCGCCATAACATATTTATATCCTCAAGATAGCATTGGCAACCTGGCAGATCTCCTAAGAGTGTGTGCATCATTTTTTGACATGCAGCGGGTGCCGAAGCGAGACCATAAGGGACCCGCTTTAATTGGTACAGTCCCTCGTGACATAGAAAAGCAGTCAGGTTGATGATAAGCACTCTGTAAGTCAATCTGCGAAAATACTGCAGCACCCTTCAACTCCGCAAACAGCTCTTCCATATGTGGTAGTGGGTGTGAATTCATGCAAGAGAGTGGGCACCAAGGTTATCTGCTGACACATAGAGCACTGTTCCTTTAACACTTCTACCAAGATGCTCAATGTAAACCCCATGTTGTTCAAGAGTGGCTAAATCACTAAGAAGTGGATACAGAACTCTTTCATAACCACACTTTTTAACTGTTTCAGTGTTGCACAAGAGAGCAAGCTGAATTGAGTTTAGTGTGGATCTGTATTTTCCATGGAAGTTTGCAATAACCCAGTAAAGTGCACACATCTTATGTTTTCTTTTAGATGTTCCTAAAGGGTTAGCCACTTCAAAATCATCAATGTACAGACCCAGAGCGATTGTGAAGTCTTCGCAACTAAGAAGGGCATTCTCTCTAAACCCTGAGCCATCGCAACATGTCCTATATTCATGTGGTTTATGTTCTTGTTTTGACATAGCCTTATCCAAAATGTCTTTCTTGTTCAATAGTTTCTGTAGCATCTGTAAGAGGGGAACGTATACTACTGTTTTTCTCCCTTTCTCAACTACAAACTCTATAGGCATTACCAGAGGAAAGTTGCGCATTACATACGATGCTCTTCTTTTACTGGTTGCAAGACATCCATTTTTTCTACAAGATTTGGACAATATGTCACTCTCTGCCACAGTCTTAACCACCTCCTTCACAACTGACTCATCTACATGTCCAAAGTGTTTCTGAAGAACAGCCTTCACATTCTTTTGCAAAAGCGGCTGGGACAACTGAACTATTTGGTAAAGATGTTGAATTACTTCCTGAACAGAGTTCTCTGGTATGTGAAGGATGGTTTGCATTTTTAAAAAAAGAGCAGCTAAATTATGTTCCAATTGTTGTCCTAAATCTTGAGATTGTGTTTCACTTTCTTCTGCACTAAAATGATCTTGGCCCAATTCATCTGGGTGCATCTCCTGCACAGCACACTCCTGAGTGTCAATTACACTGTCATTTTCATTACTCTCTATTCTTACTATTAACTCTGGTTTAAACATTCTCTCATTTTGATCTTGATGATGCTTACTTCTGTGTGCACTGAATGTGGAACATACACTGCTTTCAAAGCTACATCCTTGAAATGGACATTGGACGTTTTGGTGGTCTTTGAGATGTCTACGCCGAAGGTGAGCAAAATATTCAGTAATCTCACAGGGTTCAAGAAAATCACAAAGCTGACAGCGAAACTTGGCTTCAATTTTCCCCTCATGTTGTTGTTTTTCAGTTGATGTATGAAAACGAGATAAGTGTGTTTTAAGGCTACTGAAAGACTTAAAAGTACATAAACATTCCTGATATAGGCATGGAAATGGTTGGCTTCTTACATAGCTCCCATGTTTAATTCTGTAATGTTTTAACAAGTATCCCCTTTTGTCACAAGCAAATATGCAATACTTACATTTCCAGATCATCTTGATTAGTCTTGCTTTGAACTTCCTGGAATCTGCCGAGTTACAAAAATCCACATTAGACTGTTTTTTTTACTAGCTGACAAGGCAAATTTACATATTTTGATCAGTGATCTACAAATCTTCTATAAACAGCTAGCCAAAAGAATTAAAGTACTATCTAGCTTTTTTTTTATCTAGATGTCATCGTACAACAGAATCATATTAACTGAAATGTAGCTTAGCTAACACCACGCTGATGAGCACGAGGTTGCATTTATTTGATAACTAAGACAGCTAACTAACTTGGATTAGTATTTCTCGCGTGTAAAAACAGGGTCGAGTTTCAATTTAAGCTAGTTTGTTTAATACTTCACTCACAAAATTAAAGTAATATCTCTTTTTTTTTTATCTAGCATGTCATCGTACAACAGAATCATATTAACTGAAATGTAGCTTAGCTAACACCACGCTGATGAGCACGAGGTTGCATTTATTTGATAACTAAGACAGCTAACTAACTTGAATTAGTATTTCTTACGTGTAAAGGGTCGAGTTTCAATTTAAGCTAGTTTGTTTAATACTTCACTCACAAAGAAATGAAAAAAAAAACTAATCGGTCAGTGATAAAGTTTCGCTGTATTTGTGTTAAAGTCACATGTTGAACATTTCTGATAAGAAAAACCACCAAGATTCACCAACACCATCGAACAAGATATATAGTTTTACACAACAGATGACACTTTGTTTAATGATTTGTAAATGATTGTTGATCAAAAATGTGATACGCATTAGATTTTAGATGTGACGATAGAGCATGTCGTAACATAGAACTAACGTTATATGTAATTGTGGCGGTTGCGATCGATTGGTACAACACTGTGGTGTAAATTTACATGTAACACTAACACAGCCTAAACTTACATTTAGAGTTACTAGCTAACTGTTATACCTCTCATTTATTAACGACTATTAATGTATTTGCTGTTTGAGACAAAAATGTAAAGTCCTACTCACAGTCACCAGCAGACGTAAAAATCCGCGCTGCATCCATGCCTGACGTCAGTTCAAAGAGCCAATCAAAATCTTCCTTGTATTGCGTTTCACTGACAACAGACTAGAATAAACTGTTAAGTACATTCAGTTTAAACAATTCAATAAAATGAAAAAAATCTTGCAAATCGTACAACAAACTAATCAAATTGAGTAATTGTGCAAAAATGTTGGAGTTTATGTTTATTGTATCTAAGTATTTTGAATTCAAACAATTTCAGGGATAACAGTGCAGGGTATTCACACACACAGGGTTATTTGGCAAACAAAAATATAAACTAGTAACGTATCTGCCATTGCCATTAGCAATTGACAGGCTCAGACCACAGATTATGGAGGGATATTTGAAACCGCAATACCAAGAAAGTTTACTCACTACAATATGGTGCAAACACATGTAACATTTAGGATGCTTTTGATATCAAGTTTTGCTGGTTAGCTTTGTCCTTAACAGGGTACAAGATGACCTACAATCTAAAACATGACATTTCTGAAATTGTTTTGTTCAAAAGAAATAATGGCAAATTAAATACTAGGAAATGAATATAAAATAGGAAATTTACAAAGACAATTTACTACAGAAAACTACAGTTCAGTTCAATTAACAACAACAGAAACATTAAAATGGTCCAAGAACTGGTAACTTATACAGGGTTCGTACAGATACTGCAAAATAAAATTCCAAGACTTTCAAGGACTTGCACTACTTTTATTTGGTTTTCAAGGACTAAAATCAGATCTCACTAATCAATGTTATTATCTTTCATATTCTAATAAATAAACTAATAAAACAAAATGGTACAAATAAAGTGCAGCACATGCAAAGAACGCAATGAATGTGGCAAATGTAACATTTGAAAGGATACTATAGTTATCGCTTTCCTTATTCAAACTGATTTTTTTCATGAATATGATTGACCTGAAGAATGAAAGCTATATCATACACTTGGAAAATGATGAGTCTTATCACGCTCTTAGACACTAGGTGTGTGACAATACACTTAGCTCACAAGGTGAGACAAAATGCAGAAACTTGGTTCACTAGAATGAGACAATGTTTTAATAGTAATACTTTAAGAAATTTTCAAATGACAAAATATTTGTCTTTTAATCACAAAAAATAAAACAATGCAGTTGTATTTTGAAATGTTTTAACTAATCTAGTGCTTAACTAATGATTATTTTGACAAGTGATCTGATATTTTTTAGTAATACAAATAGAACTAAGTGGAAAACAGGCTTTAATATGACTATATTTATATATAAAGTAACGATGAGGCAATAACAATTGGCCTCAAATAAAGTATCAAAACCAAGTACATGGTTTGAACAACATTGTTGAATACATATGCCTATATTATAACAAAAACCTGCAGAGGGTGCCAACGGCCTGGTGATGTTTCATGTGATTCAACAATGTTTAAATCCATTTAATGTTAATATTTAGCCACATGAAAAGTCAGAAACTTTTATTTTGAAATCGTGATGTACAATAAATTGCATATTTAGACATATGTTGATGTATTCTCCTGTGTTGGCATAGGTTTAAATGATTTATGTTACAAATCAAGTGAGTTTTCCCAGATGACCATTAAGCAACCCAAACTCACAGCATATGCAGAGGAAGAGGAAGAGTTTAGCCCCTTTCACACATACAGTCTTTACTGGTAAATTACCGTTAAGAGATCATGTGTGAACAGGACCTTTTCAAAAATCCCAGTAAATTTGTTCTGGCAATCATATCATTCTTATGCAGATGGCTTGATTACTCTGAGCTGTTTACAAAGCTCCGCTGCTTTTTTAAATAGCTTTTCTATGTAAATATGATGCTAGATGGAAATCTTTGAGACCCAGCTCGAGACCCAGGCTTCTTTTCCATTCATCAGCCGCGACTCTGCAATCAGATACTATTATGCATGTCTCGTGTTTATAAGAGCAAAAACTTCTGATTGGCTAGTAATGTTAGTTTGGATGAGAAAGCTGTGTTCCTCTCATACATTGGTAAGTGAACTCACGGATCTCCGCACACCGGAGATCCAGCACAGTGCTGGAGAACTTTAAGCCCCGACTCCATCTTTGAGTTGATCTGAATCTCACAGTTGAATCTGCTGGTTTTGAAGATGAAGATGAACTTTATTCACTGTGATGAATGATTCTTGCCGCTTGTAATGACTGGTTAGGACAGATTTATCCAGATTACATTTTATTGCTTGATGCATTACTGTGTCACAACTGATGAGGACACAGCATCAGATCTGAAAGTGCTGGATCTGAAGATGATCTACTTACTGTGAATGTTTTTTGTATGACTGTGTAAAGCAGATGAATTATTGAAACACTTCCCACATTCAGTGCAGTGATGCGGTTTCTCTCCAGTGTGGATCCTCTCGTGTGTTTTCCGACTTGATGACCGACTGAATCTCTTGTCACAGTGTGAACACTTGTAAGGTTTTTCTCCAGTGTGAATCATCTCATGCAGTTTCAAATTGCTTGCTGTAGTAAAAGTCTTTTCACACTCAAAGCACATGTACTCTCTCACAGCGGTATGTATTTTCTGATGTACTTTCAAATGTTGTAGACGTGAAAAACTCTTTCCACACAAATGACATGAATGTGGCTTCTCCTTTGTATGAACTCTCAGGTGTGTCTTCAGGTATGAAGCCCACAAAAATGCTTTGCCGCACTGATCACATGTGTACAGTTTCTCTCTAGTGTGGATGTTCATGTGATCTTTGAGGTGTGATTTTATTGTGAAGCTCTTCCCGCACTCATCACATGTGTACGGTTTCTCTCCAGTATGAACTCTCATGTGAAGCTCAAGATTACGTTTGTTTGCCAAACTCTTTCCACACTGAGTGCAGGTTAAAGGTTTCTTGGCTCTTCTTTCCTTTAAATCTTTCTGTTTGGTTTGAGAGCAACTCAAATGTTTTTCTCCAGTTTTAATATGACTTTTCTCCTTAACTTCACTCAGTTCTTCATTCAACTCTGAAATAAAAGTAAAAATGGCTTATTTCCAGTAACTCGTGAAAAGCAAAGAAATGTGGAAATGTGAACCCTGATGTAACAGTGTGATGCAGACAATTGCCACCAACCTGTTAGTTCTTCAGTATCTTCAGTGTGTTTCATTCTGCAGGGCTCTGGATCTCTCATCTTCTCTCTGTCCTCTTTAATAAACTCAGTCTTTGCCGATTTCAGCTCTTCCTGATGATTAGATGCTCGTCTTCACTTGTGAACTGATGGAGATATTCCAGCATTTATTGGTTAATTAATGAAGGTGTGATTGTTGTGGGAGGAGCTTCACTGGACATGAATTTCTGTGTAGAAAAAGCAGGTTTGCTCAGTAATTAAAAAAATAATAATTTACAGATTTAGACAATTATGTGAGTGAAGCAGATATATTTTAAGCCTTACAAATATAAAGTGTTGGCTCTTTGCATTTCATTATATTACTAAATTAAAAGTAACAGCGTCAACACAAAAAGCACATCCGTTTAAAATGCTCATTCAGTAACACTGCATTCCCATATCTGTTAATTCACACAATCTATGCATTTCTGTTTTCTGTTGTTAACATTATCCATATTTAATTTTTTTTTATTCTGCCCCAGTATTTACATATAAGCTACCTGGTCTAAAAATACAGAACAGAATACAATGTAAATTCTTCCAAATATAAACATCAGTAAGAATGAAATATTAAAGCACAAACACAGACATTTGATGACACCCATCTTTATTAACAATTACAGGTAAATAACTACACTGTATCTAAATATAGTTTGGTTTTCTAACAACTATAAATAGAGCAATTAAAGTAAGTTATTAACATGTTATAGTTTTATATGTGAAGTAATTGATAGCGATCATAAAATCTTCTTTAAACTGAAAGAGTACCACAAAGCAAAAATGTGTTCACAGTGTATAGCTATAGCTCTTCATATTTCTGTAGATTTAAAATATCCCACGTGGCTCATACAGACTAATATTATGATGTATTTAGCAGGACCTGTTCTCAATTGTAAAGCAACTATAACAAATTTGAGACATTCAGTAACAGCAACAGTATCACTCCAAACATCGAGACAATCATTCACACAAACACACAATCACTCAGGCCTTAGTTTTCCTCACATGTTGTTTAAGTTGGCAAACACACAAACAGGGCTGTACTCGATGATAACAAGGCAGAAACGACCTCGTATATGTTGCATAAACAAACTGTATTTAACAATTAAATAAGTGAAACACTGTGATCTGCTCACCTCTCCTCAGAACACTCGACGCTTTTTTTATTTATTTTCTTTTAAGACTCGAAGCGGACGGAGTGACCGCGCGCTAGTGATGACGTCATCGCCGCGAGGCGGGATCTTCTTCTTCTTCTTTTGATGTTTAATGGCGGTTGGCAAACCAGCTTTTGGTGCATATTCCGCCACCTACTGGGATGGAGTGTGAGGCGCTGATATCAAGGGAAATGCTAATTCTCAAAAAAAAAAAAACTTCCACCTATATTTTATTATATAATTGTGTTATTTTTCAGAAAATTAATAAGAGCTTTATAACATTTATGAGAACGGTTTAACACATTCTGTAATGTCATAGATTTAATGCCGTCAGATTTTAATTCCTCTTTTAACTGTATTCTTTCCCTTTCAAATGCCCTACAGTTAATCAGCACATGCTCTACAGTTTCTGGAAGTCCACAATGATTACATTGACCAGAGTCATGTCTTCCTATCATCTGGAGTGATTTATTAAGAGTAGAGTTTCCAATTCTCAATCGCGATATAACTGTATCATCCCTTCTATTACCATAAGCAGTTCTTACATGTCCTACTTGATTATTTATATTATACAAATGTTGCCCTTTGTTACCTTTATCCCATCTCTCTTGCCACATCTTTGTGACAGCTACTTTAATTAAACCTTTAATTTCAGATTTACTCAAGGGTATATGTATGTCAATATTTGTGTGCTTAAGAGCCTGTTTCACTATCTTGTCTACCTCCTCATTCCCTTCCACTCCAACATGAGCAGGCACCCATACAAATTCTGCTAGAATTCTCAGTTGCCGTATTCGGTACAAACTTTGTAGTACTTTTAATAAAATATCTTCTCTAGATTCAGATTTTCCACTCAGTATACTTGTGAGTGCAGAATATGAATCTGCACAGATTACCACTGTTGTTGGTTGGATTTCTTCCACCCACTGTAAAAGCTAAAGAATAAGCACTAGTAGATAAAGAATAAGCACTAGTACCTAATGAATAAGTACTAGTACTTAATGGAAAAGATACTATCTAAAAAAATAGGTACTAGTACCATGAAAATAGATACTAGTACGGTTTACAGATTAAATGTTACAACGGCTTTCCATAAACAGTTGTCATTATCGCGAAAGATTTCTTCGATTTCAGAATCGCGCAATAAAATCGTAACTTGTCAGTGAACTACGGCTATGTGTAGTAAATTCTGCTCCATCTGAAAGCACGTTGTGATGATTTACTGCTGATTACCCTTTACTAACAAAATGCGCATGACAATCGCATTAGATTAATCGTGCAGCCCTACTGGTGTTGCTGTTTCACAAGGTTTATTACAGATTATGTCATGATGTTCATTGTCGTACTGAATATTCTCGTTAGTTCGTTCAGATAATGTGGAGCTGCAGCCGCGCTCTCACCAAAACCTACACTGCATTTACCATCTGATAATTAATAAGAAATACCAAACAAGTATGAATAAAGGTGCTGACGACTGATGCTTGAGATCAAGGTGTTTTTAACATTTCAAAACACATTCTCATGTTAGCAGACAGATTACACTTTCACATGTGACCAACAATTCCTCAACAAATATAAAATATCATAAATATGATCAAAATATTCATCTGAGGGAGGTGACAGACCTGACAGAGATGACAAATCTGATGGTGCTGACGAAAACCTGAATTTGTAGTCATTTTAACAATCAAATACATTGAATCAATCAATTACTGTATTAAAACAAATACAACAAACAGTATGTTATTGTTTATAAAGCTTTTATTCAAGATTCACATTTAAGTATTTTGGTATATCATTGGAACACAAATTATCTATTTTCTCTCATCTCAGAACAGTATATGTCTGCTGTGCATCTGCTATAGTAACACGGTAACTTTTAAAACAGTTATGTGAACAAATAAATCAATTAGTTGTTACCGCTATCCATTTACATTCACCAGTATCTTAATATTCACATTTAAACATCATATGATACCCCTAAACCACACAAATATGATGACTTCATGTTAAATGTCAACTCCGTCATTGGCCAATCTTGTGTCCTTGAAAAACAAACCTTGCATTGATATGAGATATTATTAAGTCTTGATTTTAATAAAACAAGCTCTTTTTATCATTAAAAACATTTCCATCCATTTTATAGCATATGAATGATTGAATTGTACCTGTGTTGTTTCAAGGGGAAAAGCATGAACTGTTTATGAATTCCATTTTACAGATTAAACAATGAAGACAATATTCACAATATTGTTATTTCAGCAGCATGAGAAACACAACGGTTATTCAAACTGGAAATAAATAACTTAAAGAAACACAGCGCTTCATGACTTCAGTCTAAAACTGAGTTCTACATTTTCACAAAACCTCTCGTTATAATTACTGAAGCGGTCTACACTGCACAATCAAT